CCCTAATAATGTACGACTCAGCAACTAGATATCTTTTCTTGTGTACTGTGAACTCACCATAAGATGCCCCGTAGCAAACCATCGTTGTGCTCAATCGCGTATAACCCACCTCTCGCAGTCAGCATTTGATTTAGAGCCATTAAATGCATCTGAGCGGTATCATATGCTCCGAAAAGATTCTGATCATGGTCAGCAGATGTACAATAACCAGGACTAAAGACGGAGTCTGACCTCAAAACTTGCAAGTGTCAAGACAGTGCCAATAACCTCGTCTGAGACGACTCCATCAGGCTCCATGAGCTTGGAACTGATGGCGCTGATGGCGCCACTTTTGTGCTTGAGATGACAGCAATGTAGCTCACTAAGACCCTTTGCAAGCACTCCGTATATTGCCCACGTTGCCAGAGTAGCATGCAAAAGGCCAGCGTCATGGATGGTCCAGGTTGGCCATGTGTTCTTTGCGTCAATAGCAATAGAATTGGTTTTAGGTGCACTTTTGTCTAAGGGAACGTCAGCATAAGAGGTCAACTTAGACATGCGTCCCCTATGAACGGAATTCTTCTTCCAAGTCACACGTACATAGCTGAAATAACATATCGAACTGCGGCGTCCCTGGTATCGGCAAGATGTCAAAAGGATCGATACGATGAGCGCTTGGATCTATCCGTAACGTGGGAATTTTCAACGCCGGTTCGATTGTTCCTTCTCTCAATTTTTCTTTTGCATTTTTTGCTGTATAGCATCCTATTCCTGTCATTTGATCCATGACATAGTTCTCTGTTGTACCTATGGGCGACGAACGTCTTTTCCCCTTGCTTTTACCTTTCCCATTCTTCAACATAAGTTTTCTGCCTTTGGTAGTATCTTCGCTTTTTGATCGTTGGATTCGGAACCGATTGCTTAGTTGATTTCTTGCCATGACGGTGGTTGCTGAGCTTTGCTCTGGAATATCCACCTGCGGCGCAGTTGTCTTCGTATCGAAGAAGTTGCGCATAACTAATCGACGAATCATACCCCGTTCGGCTCCGTTTGGCAGATGTGGTTTTGTTGTCGTCACGAAGAATTCGTATTGCCGTGCCATGGTTGTGACTGAAGTATTTCTTCTCTGCAGCTGTTCTGGCGGTGAGGAATCACTGGCCAGATTCGGGGTACTGTTGTTTGACCGATTTGGTGCATCTACCATCATGGAAGTCGATATTCTATCTGGCTACAAGGAAAGACATAACCCAGGGTACAATAGAAATTACAAGGTCAAAACGGTGTGCAGATTGCCACTAAGACGGCTGCTTTCAGTCGATGTCTAGTCGCTCCTTTGGCGAGGATGATGCGCGAAACCCCGAATCTGATATTTCCGACCAGAGTCATTGGTGATGATGAGAAACGGGTCGTATTCGTGGCGACAATGGATTATCTAAACATCCGGTTGATTATGGCAGCGAGGTGGGCTTGAAGGGCGTGTAAATTGACTCGTGATTGGAGAATAGTTTATATGCATAATGCAGCCTCGGAAAGACCCGAATTCAAGCTTCGCCAACTTCCGGAGTGTTGGCTGATGATTCAAGTCAAAAAGGGAGTATCGTAAGCGATAGCCTTTCTTTGGGTTCTTTTTTTAAGAAAAAAAAACTAGTCTGCGACTTGTGTTAGTTAACTTTAAAGTCTGCACATCATGTATTCAAATAGATTCTTGTTCCTTTCCATGGAACAGCGTAATGCGCGCAGCTGAACAGCATGACTGATGGTGATGCAGTTTAACTGGTCACGAATGGTGGCACCACCTTTGCAGAACTGAGTCTTTTTTGGGAAAAAGATTCCGTTCAGTAGCAACCCGGGAGATGGCTGGACGGCTGTAGACAGGCGTCGAAGCCAGTGGCCAAGCTGACGCAGCAGAGCTAGTAGTAGTGTCAAGCCAATGATACTGCTACCCTCATTTGGCCCCCACACACTTGTGGGTATACGCTGAAGTTGGAGCAGCGATGCAAATATATACTAATCTCTGGGAACCATTTGATTTGCCAAGAGGTGCAAGGAAGAGAATGTTCGAGCAACAGTGTCGTAATTTCTAACCAACAGCCTCAAAAGACAGGAGGCACACTAAGCAGCGAAGCTATTCCTTTCACTCCCGCAACCCCTCCTAATTGCATGTCCACTGCGCTCGGAGCTCTAATCTATGTTAAACACGGAGATCCTAAACGCTCATTTCCCCTTGTCCTCCCTAAGGCTCACAATCTGATTGAGCATAATATTATTCTCCGTTGAATCGATGTCAATACAGAAGTAAGCCGTGCGCAGTGCCTGAAAACGCACAAGAGCGTCTGAAGAACCGCTCAGATCCAATGAAGTCTCACTGATGAGGTTTCTGATACCCTTCTCGATGACGGCCTTGTTGTAGATGATCTCGGAGTTCGGGTTAAGATCGTCCGCCCAACCTCCCGTTTTCCAGTCTAACGTATTTGGAGACTCGGTTTTGAAAAGCGAGTTGTAAAGACGTGCAGTGACAGGGACAGCAGTTGCTGCATCCACCCACTGAATATATGCTTTTGGCTTCTCAGTGGCTGGAGCTTTGACTGCTTTGATCTCAGTGACATTGCCGTTTTCGTCTTTGGAGAAGGATCTAGCGCGGATCGGAAATGGCACGTTGTACAAACCAACAGCTTTGTTGGGTGCCAGACGGAAGTAGTCTTCACTGTCTTCCTCTCTGAAGTCAGCGCGATCTATGTAGACTGCACTGCCAACCTTGACTTTTCGCTCTCCTGGAATCGTGCCCTTTGGGTCGTATGGCACAGTAAGCTCCTGCTCGTCCTCGGCAGCAAAGTCTTCGATGATGACCTTAATGGGATCAAGCACTAGCATTTGGCGTGGCACAGTTCGTTCCAGATGCTTCCTGATTGAGGCCTCGAAGCGCGGAGGCTCGATTTCAGAGAGTGCATCTGTGACGCCGAGCTCGTCGACAAAGTTGAGCATAGCCTTGGCTGGAATACCGCGACGACGGAGAGCAACCATGGTAAAGAGGCGAGGGTCATCCCACCCTCGCACCGCTGGTGGGATCTTCTTTGTCTCGACTGTACCATCAGCATTCTTTTTCTCGACCTCTGTTCCCTCAACGAGCTGAAGGATGCGTCGCTTCGACAAAATTGTACCACCAACACTGAGACGGCCGAATCTACTATTCTTAGTAACAAAAAACGTAGAGAGCAATAAGTGCACTCACTCTCTTTGCATGGGGCCTTTCTCTTCTGACTTAGGGATCTTCATGTCCAATTGCTCCAGTAGCCAGTCGTAAGAAACACGAGACTGGCGGAATTCAACAGTACACATGGAATGAGTAATGCCTTCCAAAGCATCACAGATGCAGTGGGTAAAGTCATATGTAGGGTAGATTCTCCACTTGTCGCCTGTCCTGTGGTGGTAGTTTTCCTTTACAACGCGATAGGCTGGGAGATCCCACATCTGCGGGTTGCCCTCGTCTGGATCCGTCAACTTTTGCTTCATTCGGAGGAATGCCTCTCCGGCCTTGTATTTGCCGTCGCGCATTGCTCGGAATTCGGTGATGGACTCTTCAATGGGTCGCGTGCGGTGCGCACAGGCATAGCGTTTACCGCGGTTGTCGGGTCCGCCACGCTGGTTGTTGATTTCCTCTCCTGTATGCTGGTCAGATTGGGAGCGTTTGGGTTTTCGCGGTTAGACATACGAGAACAGTGGCAGACGTATGCGCCGTCTTTGTTAATTAGCTGTTCTGCCAGCTCGTACAGCTTGTCAAAATTGTCGCTGCTGTAGGTAATCTTCCAGGGCTCAAATCCTAGCCACTTGACAACGTCCAGGATCGCCGTGAAATAGATCTCGTCTTCCTTCTCGGGGTTGGTGTCATCGTAGCGCAGATAGCACTTGCCGTTGTGGTGTTTTGCGAAACCAAAGTCCACTGCAATCGCCTTTGCGTGTCCAATGTGAAGGAAGCCATTGGGCTCGGGCGGAAAACGAGTGCGGACTTCTGCGACAGGCTTCTCTTCATAGATGCGCTTCAGCCAGCCTTCGGAGAAGATGCTGGTAGGCTCGCTCTTTGCGCTGGGCTTTGCCTGCTCTTTGGGTCGTAGGGCATGCTCAGCCTTTTTTGCCTTTGCAGCAGCCTTTTTCGCGGCCTTTTCAAGGGCACGCTTGGAGGGGCCCTTCTCCTCCTCTTTGGGTGGTGGTGCGGTAGCTGAGGATTCAGCCATGTCTGCGCGATGTAAGGCCTTTGCTGGTATTGAAAGGATGTGATCGGGATGTTTTCAGGGAATTCTGGCCAGTGGTGATACTGACTGAGTCATATGAGGTCCGCGTCAAGAGTGGCAACCTACCTGCTCAGTGGTGTGTGGGCTACAATGCAACTCGTGTGCAGCTTGGAGGGGCTCTATCAACAGTCTGGAGGGGCACTTGAGTCAAACACGCTAGTGGTAGCCTCACCAGCCACAAACGCCACACTTGGCCGTTATCGTTACATCCCGATCTTTTGTTACCGTTCCTCTACATTTAGTGCATCGACATCTGTTTGGCTTGCTTGCAGGTTGAAAGAGACGGATTCTTGCACCGCATACGTGGCAGGAATATCCAAGTCTTGACCGTAGGCTGCTTGCCGCGACCACCACTACGCTAGCACGCTGGCATATGCTACGTATTTTAGCTTCACTGAGAGATGTCTCTCCATCACCTTTGCATACGCATGACTCATATAGTAATTGTCAGAATCCATTCAATCACCCAGGTTTTATTCCATATTTTCGGCTCTTCAAGCTACTTCTTGAAAAAGTATGTGTGGAGAGACTCTTGAAATGTCACATATCCGCAATCTGTGTAACGATGAAATGTATACATAATGGCTGATTGATCTCCCCGATGCTTGAAAAACTGTAACAAAATCTTTTATGAAATGCAGATTTTTGAATACTGAACAAACAAGTCATACTCATGCAATGCAAACCGCTAAAACCAATACTCCTATTCCGGAACTCATTCACCAATCTATCCAAATGCCACAAACAAGAGTCGAACCTCTCGCTGACCAGAGACAGAGAAGGAATCACCTTCTCCGTTCCCATCATTACCAACCCCTGATTACCGAAGTGCTGGGGCATGAGCTTCCCAAATACGCAAACAGCACCGTAATCGACACCGCAAACATGATCCAGCACATGCGTGAATGTGCACTAATTCTTGCCTCAGCATCTCCAGTCTTAACAGCCGCTATAGCCGGGAATCTACCATCTCGGCTTCTAACCAACCCAGAGCTCCAGAGCGAATACACAGCCCTCTCAGACCGAGCCCACTACCAACCTTCCATCTACGCTCACTTTCTTACAGACACCCAGGGCACACCGCCAACACCGAACCAGTACCTCACCATCAGCAACATGGTGGAGGACTACCTCGCTAAAAACACCATCTCGCAGCACGCATGGCACGTAGATAACATGACGCATCCACCCGTGCCCCAGGACTCCTCAAATAATGGTCACCGCAAGTACCTCCATACTGCTAGTATGAGGTCATGCTCAGCAAGGCGCTCAGAAACCCTCCACTGTTTCTGTGCTGCCGTCCACCAGCGCTGGCTCGACACTCCGGCTTCCCTGCGGGGCACGCCTTTTACCTTTCCGCCTGCTGAAGTCAGATACTCACGCCACTCTCACTGTCGACTTCGCCAGCACAGCCTGCGGCAGTCGTCAAACTACATTATGAATCTTGTCGAGGATATATGTAGCTATCTGCATCGGATCGGGGTGTTTGAGCAGCAGTTCAGCATGCATGGGTACATTATTTTTTTGCTGTTTCGGGCAAATCAGGCTGCTATTGCGGAAATATTTTGCTCCGGGCTGCTGCAGGTATGGGTGGAGGGTGGAGGCGGATTTAATGCATGTCCTGCGGGAAGGAGCGTGGCTACTGCGAAGCGGGTGAATGAGGGGGAGTGGGCGGGCTATGAGCGGTGGGTGAGAGAGGATTCGGGTGCTGTGGAGAATATGAGGGTGCAGCGGCAAAGGGCTGAGGAGTGGCGGATGGCGCTGGAGTGGGAGGATGAAGAGGGTAAGGAGAGGCATGGTGATTGTGTGTAGGTGGTGTATGTAGGGCTTGTTTTACGAGCGATTATGTGACGAAGTAGTATGAATATTTGTTAGTTATATGTTGAGCTCACATGCAGTGCTGCTCTCTTCTCTCACTCATGCTATTCAACTGTCTCAGCAATGTGACTATCATTGTTTAATTACCTCATGCCATTGTACCTACTGGAACATGCCTTTATCCTATCCTGCCAAGGAGCTTCCCATTGTTCAATAATCAATTAGTAAAGTCCAAGCAAACAGCTCAAAGTCACTCGCCAGATCGCTCTTTCCTCACCTATCCTACCGACTCTCAGCTCTACACCCATCAACTCACCCAACATCATCTCCCAAAAGATGTCCTCAAACCCACCCACCAACACCACCAAACCTTTCACCACCACCACCGAACTCCACGACTTGGGCGCCACACGCTTCGACCGCGACACCGCCGCGCCCTCAGACCGCGATACCGCGCTCCTCTACCGCCACGCCGTAGTCCCCGTCATCACTCCGCAAGGCCGTGCACCACCCGGGCTAGAAGCTAAAGTGCACGAATGGACGACGTTCCAGTTTACAACAGAGGATTTGGATCGCGTGGAGGAGTTGAAGGGAGATCTGCATGGGGGGATGTTGCATCGTGTCAATAGGGCTGCGAGGGGAGAAGTTACTGGAGGTGCTATGATAGGGAATCGAGGGAGAGGAAGTAACAAAGAAACGGCTCAGGAGACTAAGCTTTGTGGGGGGAGGGAGGGGGAGGGGGACGCGGCACCGGTGGCTAAGGGCATGGCGGAAGAGATGGGAAAAGATATGTTTTGGAGCGGGCCAATTGTTTGAGGCCTGGATTTGGGGGCCGGGGAGGGAAGTGGGTAGTTTGAAGTGGGAGTTTTTGAGGGCTGAAAAGGGTCTCAGTCGAAGTTGACCTGGTTTACATGCAAGGTCAGTATGGATTGACAATCGGAAACTAACTGAGGATATGAATGCATGGATGCACATCCCACATACTCAACACCAAGTAGAGAAAAAGGTCCCTGTACACCGTGTCGGTGCCTCAAGTCTTTTTGAAATGTCTATGCACAAGGCCGCACAGGCTCTCCCACAGGACCTGGTCCCTTCCCTTGACCCACTCGACTACCACCTCCCTTGCCAAGTCGACAACCCTGATTCTGAATGCCAGCTTAACTGGCCTTCTTCCGCTCTCGTCTTCAGTCCCTTGCATCTCATCAACACCACCCCCTTCCTTCGCTCTTTTCTCGTACATGCGTCTATAAGATCGACTCCACACGTTTTGCGCTGCTTCGCCGATGCCAGTACATGTGGAGGAGTCCCAGTTCCAGCTAATAAGATCAAGCGAAGTCATCTGAGCGGTAATGGCGTCCTTGGCCTGCTGGGAGTCGATCGTGGGAGGTAAGGTGATGGGATAACATGTTGGAAAGGGGAGGTACTCGTTCGCCATCTTTTCTATGCGGGCATGGCTCTATGGAAGTTTCAGCATCAGCTTCATTGATAGATTTTGCAATGGAGTGAATGGTAAAAGAGAAATGTATCAGTTGTATGGTGAAGATTAGGATACATACATTTCTCGGTCGCAGATCCCCAAAACTCCATGCTACGATCCACCGCTTCGTACCACTTGCTCCTGCCTCGATCACGCCCACGGCCCAGTTGGTAATTCCATTCTGTTTTAGCAGGCGAATGATGGCTTTCGCGCTGTCCATTTTACCAAATAAGCTGCTGTACCATTGGACCTTTTCTCGAAGCACAAGACTCTCGTTAACAATAGCAGTCACGAAACCAACATCGCCACCAGGAGAGACCATTTCGTTTTCAGATCCGGTACAGATGGCGTTGGGCTTGCTGCTCTTGCCCTCGCCTGCGAGACTGGATTGCATTTCAGAAGGGGTTGTGAAAAAGGGTGGGTTGCATATTGTAAAGTCGAGATGGGTGACACCAAGGGCAGCCAATGGAATTAGAGTGGTGAGAGCAGTAGTTTGAAGGAGCTTTGTACGTGTCATCAAGTTGTTGAGAGCAAGGTTGCGGGCGGCTGAGTCGAAACTCTTTTTATCAATGTCGGTAGCGCACATGGACCAGTTTGGGCGCGACCGCAGGCATAACATGGTGTATATGGCAGACGCACCGGTTCCTATATCTAGTCCTTGTACGTGGCGGTTAGGGTCATATTTGTTTGAATAGTCTGGAGATGTAGAGTCGATCAGGCCTTGTATCCAGGCGACATAGTTCCAGCGATTCGGTATTGGTGGGCAGAGGCGGTCATCCGGAACGTCAAGTTCAAGGCCAAAGTCTGATTTCAGAATTGCCTTGGATAAGGCTTGAACAGTGTGTGGATCTTGAAAGTCGAGCTTGCCTGAGGCGCGCTGCCATATCTGCTTGAAGTCATTGTCGCTTTTGGCAAGCGATTTGAAGTCGACTGTGTCATACGGGGGCCGCTGCTCGAGAAGCATTGGTATTGGGGATAGGTAAGTGTGCCAGCGAGTGCAGGAATGGAGTCGAGCATGTGAGATATGCAGAGAGCAAAGTTGGGTGTTGGGTGCACGGACCAACCCAGCCTGATTGGTGGTGACTTTGGTGAGGGAGTGATTGAAGGAAAATAATCTTTAGTGCCAGACACTCTACAATTGATATACAAGAATATGAGAATAGCGTTGCCGCAACCCGTATGTGCACCTACCGCTGTCTACCAAACGCCGTGCCGAATACCGTCATATCAGAAAAGGCCCATCGTAGGCTCCGTCTGGCTCTTGGAGGCGGACTGCTTCGAGCGAGGGAACAGTGCCTGGCTTATAAAAGCCCAGCAGCATTTCCATGTCTTCTTCAGTCATGGCGCAAAGGTCGTCGAGTGAGTATTGCTCGCAGACTTTGGACATCCTGTAACGGGGCTGGGTAAGCAAAAAGACGGACGGGAGGTCAGCCAGGGCAAGTCACGTACCACTGCATGCGCTTGGGGCCTTCTTCTATGGCGGGCGCAACCTTTCTGAGCTTCTTTCGCAACATGCCGACTCTCTGGACAGCATTGCCAATGTTATGAGGGAGGCCAGCGGCGATCTGTCTCCTGACAATGTTTGCGAGCTTGGGCCCGTTGCCATTGGTGCTGACCATGATTTGCAGAGGCCCGTCGCGGTGGACACTACCAAAGTAAAAGTCGCATTCGGGAGGGACATCTGCGATGTTTGCAGCTATGCGCCTCTCCTTGCACAGCTTGTAGATCTGCGACGAGGCCTCTGGGTCATCCACTGCAGTCAGGACCATGTCAACACCGTCGAGATCCGAGGGCTCGAACTTGCGGTCGACATAATCGACCTGGCCCTGGTCGATGCGATAGGCGACCTCGTCATTGAGGCCTTCGCGGGGGGACACGACGGTGATTTTGGCGTCGGCGTTTAGGACGTTGACGATGCGCCCGGCAGCAACCTTGACTTTGTGTCAATCGTCAATACATAGATTGGCAGGTCGTCAATACATGACAGAACTCACCTCGCCGCCGCCGACGACCAAGACACGTTTGTTGCGGATCTGCCAGGCCAGGATCAGCGAGCCGCCGCCCTGGATCTCGGGGTAAGGGCCTTTCATGATGCGGTGCGGTTACGGTGTTGCGGAGACGATGGGGCGCAACGCGGAGATGGGATGGATGACGGCGGAGCGAGCATGCATTACTCCTACTAGCGCGCAGTGGCCATACACTCCACTTCATCACTCCGCTCCACTCCACTCCCACTTCGCCCTCAACACCACATGCCCCCCGACGGCGCCTCTCCTCAACACTCGCCATCATGGCCTCGCGCAGGTCCTTGGGCGGCGGCCGCGTGCTGGGGAGCGGGAGAAACCTGTCGCCCGCTGCCGCCACGACTATCACGGCCACGCCTAACCTACTCCTCTCGCCCTCTGAGAGCTCTGTATCGCTGAGCTCCCAGACGTCCAACAGCCCCGCTACCACGGCCGAGCCCAGAGACGACATTGGCAGCAGGGTGCTCGCCGCCGCCAACACGCCCTCGCCGCAAGCCAGTGCCTCGACCAGGCTCATCTGCCCCATCTGCAGCGACGAAATGGTACATCCCCCAGCGCCAACCCACCAAACGCCCAGCTAACCGTCCAGGTCACGCTGCTGCAGCTTAACAGGTACCCGATATGTGCCGCCTCTCTATTCTATCAGCCCTGACGATGTATCACTAGACACCTCGACGACACGCACCAGAACCTGGTTGTCGAGGAGCAGGACGAGGTCAAGAATTGGTTCGAAGCGCAGATGCACAAGGCCAAGAAGTTCCAGCCCCTCGCCGTCCTCAATCAGAAACTCAAAGGCCTCGATGTCTTTGAGTCCAACGACGCCCCCCAGACCCCCCACCACGCTTCCCATTCGGCCTCCAGCTCCACAACCCATGCCGCCGCCTACGAGCCTGCCCCCGTCCGCCGAGACCCAGACGAGGACGTTACCCGCGCGCACTGGCAGAGACCCGCATACCGCGATGTCTGCGCAGATCCCCTCTGCGCCCGCCCTATTACCGCCTCGCCAATGACCCTCGGCGGAGGCCTACCCGCTGTCAACTGCAGGCAGTGCGGTAGACTGTTCTGCGAAGAGCACACCATGTACCAGATGAAATTGTCGCGACAGGCCAGACATGACCCTGTGAGAGGCATCTGGTGCCGTGTCTGCGAGACGTGCTACAAGTCAAGAGTCGGATACAACGATCACCGCGGCCTGGAGCGCAATCATTTTGATGAGTTCGCAAAGATCAGACAAAAGCATGTAGACAGGGAGCGCATGGAGGTTAGCCGTCTGGAGAAGCGCCTGACCAAACTCACGCAGCTCCTCGCAAACCCGCCGCCCATGGACGACACTCCTGTCTCAGGCAGCTGGTTCTCGCTGCCCAGCACCAAGAATCAGCGCAAAGCCCTCGAACAGTCCATCATCACCTGGGAAGAAGACGCAAAAGTCTCAAACTGCCCCTTTTGCCAGCAGGAGTTTTCGACATATACATTTAGACGATCGCACTGTCGCATGTGCGGCCGTGTCGTCTGTAGCGATCCCAAGACTGCATGTTCAGCACAGGTTGGCTTGAACGTTGCCTCGTCTAGTGCCCAAAGCACGGAAAAAGAGGCAGGGCAGGTCAACGTTGATGTGCGCATGTGCAAGGACTGTCAACACACTTTGTTTGCTAGAAGTGACTTTGAGCGGGAACTCGCCAACAAGCCCAAGGATCAGCGCGCATACGAGAACCTTGCCCAGTTCGAAAGAGGAATTCGGCTGCTTCTCCCTCGTTTCCATAAACTTCTACAAGCGCTACAGGATCCAGACAAGTCACCTACGTCCCAACAACTGACCGATGCCACAAAGGTCCGCAAAAGACTTATGGACGGATTTGCTCAGTTTGATGTTGCCGCCAAACGGATACGCGACCTGCCGACCAACTCACCCACGCAGCAAAAACTTCAAAAGGCCGTATACCAACAAGCCTACAGCTTCCTGAGTCTGCACATGCTACCCCTGAGGTCGCTTCCCAAGATCCTCAAGCACGCTGCTCCTCAAGGACGTCCAAACGGAGGCAGCGCCTTGGCCTCGATCAAGTACAACGACCGCTCTACCGGTAGCGTCGTTAGCAGTAGCGAAGTGTCAGCCATAGAGTCAGAAGAGAAGGAACTCAGAGAACGACTAATTGTACTTGAAGAACAAAAGTTCATGGTATCAGAGATGGTATCGGACGCTACCAAACATCGCAGATTTGACGAAGTGTCAAGCCTGGTGCAAAACTTGGACGATTTGAACAAGGAAATTGACCAAATCAACGGACAACTAGGCCAGCTTGACTTTGCTGGCGCTTACCAAGCGGGAATAGCCAACTTGCAACCGGGATGAGGACATTTGAACATACTCAGGTTCAAACATTTCTTGTTAACGACGAAGGGGCTTGATGTCGAAGACCCAAAGATCCCTCGTTATCGACGAGCCAGAGCTCGGACCATGGTCTTGATCAAGCAACCTTCGTCAGGTCATATTGACCCACCACCCTTGAGCCAGCTCGCCACTAGGCGTTCCAGATCAGCCTTGTGGCATAATCCGCCGCCAGGATGTTAGTTCCGTGGAGATTCGCTCATCAAGATACAATCTCCATTAGGAGGAAAGGAAAAAAGAACTGAGAACCACTCGGTTGACGAAAAAGAGACTGGTAAACTGCATCATTGTAAACTAATTTTTTTTCGTATAGCATAGCGTGGCTTGGTTATAATAATGAATACATAACTGCCGAGGTATTCGCAATGTTCACTTTGTACCCTGTTTTAAATTTTGGCCGTTTTGTGTTTCACGATGTACGCTTCAGCTCACGCAAAGTTTCGTAGTCAAAGATGAAGACTTTCCCATTGGTGATAAGCGGTTGATAGGTTATTGCAGTATATCTGTATTACTTCCACGAGATATATACATCATTTCGCCCAAACCGTCCTCCACATCTCACGGCAGAAGCGTCACGAAGTCAAGTCTGACATTGAAATACGTAACACCCGTTTTATCCGACTTAAGGACGGCCTGAACAGTGCCCTGTGTATTTCTCGCACTGGAGCACCGACATTGCTCTGCTTGCCACGAGCACGATGATACCGTCTTGCATTGATCCGCTTGCCATTTTTCCCACAATTGACTCACGTCATTGGGAACGACACCGAGTGGTGTCCATTTGTAGACGTAGGTTGCAGCGTGGGCCTGGTGGGCTAGAATGGATGCTGACAGGAGGAGGCTGGAAAGGAAATGCACTGTTGGGTGGGTAGGTGGTTAGATGGTTGTGCAGGAAGATATGGAAATGAGTGATGTGACACGTACTTATGATGGAAGATGAAGAAGGCGCGTATGTAGAGAGTTATAGTAGTTAGGTCTTGTAGTCTTGCTGGAGTTAAAGAGTGAGAGAAGTAGTAGGATGTGCAAGGAAATGGACTATTTATCTACGTACAATTTTTGGAGTAAGCAAACCTCATTTTACACGGGCCATAATTCTGAACAGCAGTTGATGATGATGCTGATCAGGGTTTTTCTTTTCAGCGTAAATGTGGTGATGCTGACAGCTCGTAAACGGCGTCGAAGAGGGTGAAGATCTTTTGCCATATGCATAGACATATTACCTCAGAAAAGCACTGTTGTCAGTGCTGGTTGCTCATACGACGATCTCATCCCCAGTGAACAATGCAGATTCATCTCAACATTGCACAAACATGATGAACAAGAGCGGGAGTCTTTGAAACTTACGAAGGTGCCTTTATCTATGTATAACAGATGCCACCCGGATTGATTGTAAAAGATAGCGCACGTCTCGATTCAAAAAAAAATAGAGGTAAATGTTCTCTGCATTAAACCAGGCGCTTTGCTTGGTGTGTGAAAAAGTTGCTATCGTCTATGAGATAGCTCCTGCTTGCATGCGCTTGCTAGGCAACCTTGATATTCTCACTTAGCATCCCGTTCGTGCAGCTTCATGTGTGACTAGTACAGGAAAACCCTACTTTCCAGTGATTTTGCTAGTAATTATGGGCTTTCACGTCATCTTGATTAGGATCTAATTTAGACATGTGCAGGCTGTGCAGGGTCTACATTCACAAGACTCTTTCAAGTTCCGACACCGTACTCTTTTCTCCACGCTTGAATTACTTTTGTGATTGTGAAGAACTGCTTTGCCTGTAATGCATTGGTAAAAGTATGAAGCATTGCTCATATAGCTGATGCAAGCCACGAGGAAGATGGTTATAAGACACAAGATTTACACAGTTAGTTGTGGGTTTAGAGCAGATGAGATTACCAGATATACTCTACAAGTATATGGTGTGTGCTGATCGCGTGCTAAACAGGATCGACCAGGGAGTCGTTGTGAATGAGAAACTTAGGGGAAGTAAGTGAATCAAACGAAAATCCCATGGCCAAAAGACGCATTGTCTTCAATATTGACGGTTTATCTTTCGGTGAATCGGAGTGATCCGGCTTACGTGATTACAGTCTTACCACTCTGACCTGCATTACCAGATTACGTACGGAAGGATGACTACGTCCTACAAATAGGAGCATGTCAAACAAGGTTTCCCTATTGTGCTCGAAAGTCTAAAAAGGCTCCTCTACAATCCTATTGCATGTCTTTCACCATGATGTTCAAATATTACATCTTTTAAATCTAATCAAGATGAATGAAGTTCGAAAAGAGTAGAGGTCATGGAATTCGGTAAGAAGACTTGGAAAACAAGCTAACCACACCAAACTGGTTTCTTTATATACAACCTCCACTTGAGCCATCACCAACCAGATACATCTCCCCGTCCTCTTCTCATTTACAGTTGGAGGCAAACACAGTGACATACTTGGCTCGAACATCAATAGGCTGGAGACCGGGTTTGTTTGGATCAGGCTTGACGGTGAAATGGAAAATTTTGTCTGACAGGGGCTTCGAAATCAGACAAAAGCCGTCATTTGAATTCCATTGAGCACCGAACTTGGTGCAGAGGTCTTGCTGCACTTGCTTCCAGTCTTTACCATACCCTGGGGGGAGGTACGCGAGTTCCTGGAGTCGGTAGGTATAGGTACAAGTTTGAGGTTGTGGAGCAGCAACTACGCCGCTGATGCAAGCTGCTGCTGCGAGGAGACCGGTGAGAAGATGCACTGGTGATATAGTTAGTAACTGAGTCGAAAAGGAAAGAATAGCATATCGTTACTTGTTCAAATCGTTTGTCAAAGTATGTAACAATGGTACGTGAGATGTCTTGAGAGGTACAGGAGTGAAGTAGTGATCAAGTGTGAGAAACATGACGGAGGAATAAGGTGGTTTAAATATTCATCCAAAGGCTGGTGATGGTGAGGCTACACAGTCACAAGAGACCAATCGCCTCAGATGTAAATTTCGATCGTGGAGGTGGGCTGCTGATCTCACAATACACCGAAGTTTAATCTATATACAGGCACATCGACTCCTCTTCCTCCTACACCGCATCTTCCAGCATTCGCATCAACCCACTCCTCCCTTTCAAGGTACTCCAGAAGCACATGAGACATCTAGGTGCGATGTCGATACTCCATCTCACAGCTTGTTTAATCAGTATCATAATTTAGGGTCCTTGGGCTTTTCTTTGAGACTTAGTCGTATGGCTATTATTCTGCGTGAAAATCAAACTCACAAGTTGTTTTTCTCGCGTGCGGATTTGGTCGGAAAGTCACACTTAGCTTTTGGTAGTACAGTAAGCAACTGAAGATCTTAATCCAATATGGCATGGTAATCTTTTAGTTAGTATGAGATTATGGCTAGATAAACTCCTTCCCAAAGCACGTTAAAGCTCTTGTGTTGGTTGCGATACTTTTTTGTACATGAACCTGATTCAGTAGCTGTGTTCAGCCTCTTGTGATTGAATCAACATCATGTGGGAACTTTTGTCGAGTTGTTTGCAATCATATAGGAACAAATCCTGTTCTCTAAGTTGAGTCATCAAGACATCAGCTCGTGTACTATCCGGAGTAAGTACCGCTGACTCAGGCACGGAACAGCGGTAAGTATATTTCGTCATTGTGGCTTGTAATGTAAGATTGAGAAGCACTAGAGAATAGTCGCGGGCTCGCTACGGGAAGATGGTATGGCACCCCGACTTTGGCTATGACGTTCAATGGAACTAGGACTTCCTACCCAGAGAAGCAAGTATGGTAGATTCAACTGCCTAACAGCACCTCTGTACATACTGAGGGTGGAAGAGCTTGAAAATATTATGCACTAGCGATAAGATGGTTTGTCGATCGCCTGACACCGTGGTCTTACATCGATCTCGATAAGCTTCAGTCGATCGGATAGAAGAAGCACAGTCTGTAAGCATGTTGTTTTCTGTAACCAATAACATAGTATCGCAAGTTGACAAGCATCCTAATAAAGTTTTCTCGCTCATAGACTCGACGAAGCAAAGAAGTGTGCCAAAGATAGCAACTCTTGCTTCAACTGAACATATGAAAATGTGGCGTATCCGATGAAATCGGCCAATTCCACTATGACGACTCGAATCCAACGTTTTCCCCATACCAAGACAATATTCACCATCATCTATCGTCATTCTTCCCCAATCAAGCAATTCCCGTACGCTCGCCGCGCTGGGTATCGAACACAGTGCCAACTTTATTTTTGCTTTTGCTCAGAATCTAGGCCCTTGGGGTTGCCAAGTTTTCCCGGCTTCTTTTTGAGAGGTATACGCGAATGTACATAAGCGAGTAAAGCGGGTACTAAAAATTGCACTTTCGCAGGGAGTAGCGTCATGGTAGAAAGATGTGGCTAGTGCCTTGGTGGTCATAATGACGACAGTAGTAATGGAGTGTAATCAACATCGCAACGCTTCGATCTTCCAAATAGTGTTTTACTACCTTGTACTCGCACAAATGCGAAATTATCTTCCATATTTGTATCGGTTTCTGAGGTACGATGGAATATTAAAATGTATAAAATATCTCAATGTCATGTCTTGAGTAACATCACTTACTACGTAAATGGGACTCTCAAGGCAACTTCTTTTTCTGATAATCAAAGAAGTATGGTCTGAAGAAGATATACAGATCTGAAAACACCATCTTAAGATCGACACTGAGATTTCTTAATTAGTACAGCATCATCTCGTTAATTCAACGGCCGATATACATAACCAAACTATAAGCTCGATGTGTAAATTTAGAAGATCCGACCAGAACATTGGAGTTGCGATATGCGAAAGCTTGCGCATTGTGTACTGCGCCGCTCAGTCGTGGCAATGCGCAATGCGTTTGTTTGTTTCGAGGTCCAGGCTTATTTTTATCATCGCCGTGATGTTTGTAGTGGTACGTACATTCAGGCAGGTTGGCTTGGCTCCCCGCAATCATCCCCATACGCAGGCATTTACATGGCACACATTCTCCACAGGAAGGCTTGTCACTTAGTGTAAATATAACAGATTCGCCGGCTAATAGACCGACTAGATATGTTAATTTATGCGACTTTACCAAGAGTTCTTTCAGGGCATGAAACAGATGATTTTTAAGCCCGTTCTAGCCTTGTATTTTTGGGCAGGGCGGAGCAGCGTTGGCGTGGGCCCAGCGAAACTGAGCGTGACATCACCAACATCTCTCCACCATTTTGCACTCATTTCATTTTTGTTCTCTCTCTACAGGATTTCGAGATCAGAGGAAAACACCATGCACTTTTGTCTCCGTGCGCAAACTGCACGGGCGCACCAACGAGTTTGGTTGCCGCGCCAGTCAGCATTTGCTACGAACAAACCTGCTGGCCAACACACATCATGACCGAGTGCGCTCAATTGCGAATCTACTTGACACGATTACCTCCGCAGCGCCACACATACAAGGCTGCTATTAAACCTGAACACATAGTTTACTAATTTGTTTCAAGACACGCGATGGGATCTTTCTTCTAGGCGGCATTGTCGAAGCAAGCTTCTTCATTTGGACATTCATGCAGTGACCCACTCCAAGACCGCCCAGATCGCACACCTCCCGCTCAGCCAACACGGCAGCACACCTTTCAAGATAAGCTCGACGGGAGACTGACGAATTTTAGGGAGGTGTTGAGGCGAGCAGACAAGACTGATATTTGGCACCAACTACGATGCACGGCCTGAAGCCGTCAGCACTTGGTGAGATACAAACGGGCCTACTGAGAGTCAATATCTGACCAAGTCGCGTTGCGATCTTAATGGCGATTGCACACAAGAGACGTATCACACCATGTTCACAGAAGTGGCGAATGTACAGATGCACAAGTAGTTGGATATCAGGCGCAGAATGCTGGATGTGGTGTAGCCTGCACAGACGCGAATCCTGCAGCCCTTTGCATGAAGGGCGGAGATAAAGTCTTTTTGGCAACGGCAGCAAATACAATAGGGCCCTAATTATCCCGTGACGAGCGGGCCGCGTCTTTGTTTCTCACCAATACTCATGCGACGTTGATGGCGTTTCAAGGAGTGTAGGACCGAAAAACAAACGCAAGAGACCAATGGGATGACCCTGGTGCCTCGTTTGCCAGGAACATTACGACTGACTCTCCCACGGGTACAGGGGCGGTTTGGTGCTTAGCAGCCAGCAAGTAAGGCCTAGTCTTGCCACAAGGAGATGGCGTAGTTTCAGAAGAGGTTGCGACAGCTTCGCCCTTCCTATACGCCGCTTTGCAGCGCGGCTGTTTGTATTATCTGCGACCACAGGGCCACGGCTGGACAAGAGCCGCGAAACCAAGACAAATAGCACACAGCAAGAGACGTGTGAGACTGGGGATAATTTGTATTGTCTTGAGGCAGATGTGCGGCGACGGAGCAAGTAAACTCTAATGGCGGATATTCGAAGCCCCGCGCCCCCCTGGCGTTGAACCGTGGCGTAGGAGAGACCATGCAACAACCCCCTGGGTAAGATGGAATTGCGCGGCGGACGCGGTAGGTGCTTGATCGGCATAAACACATATGCCCCCCCCTTGGTTGCTTTACTGTTCAAACAACGTTCTCCAACAACGGCTTGATTTTGATTCTTCCAACGGCCGATTAAGCCCCGGTTTCAATTGTACTATACATACATATATTCAGACAGTCTTTCCTTTCAGGCACAAACACACACGCACACACACACACACTTGCAACAACAAACCACCAGACTTTCTTTTACTTCTATCGCCATGTCTTCCTACCCTCAACTCTCGCCCAGCGGTCTTCCCAGCTCTCCACGAGCCAACCGCCAGATGGAACTCTTGTCTCCCCTCGACACATCATTTCCTCCGTCAGTGTCGCAAACATCATCGCCATACTCGAGCACATCGGAGAAGCAAACACCAAAGAGCGTCGATATCTTCGCCGACGCCACGATTCCTCTAAGTCCAATCTCAACCACCAGCTCGATGAGCAAGGAGAACCCCTACGCGGGCCTCGAGCCGCGAAAGCGCAGCGGTCTCGCGCGACTTTTCTCCTGCCTTGGCCGTGAGGAGCGCGCCAGACGACGTATGAACCGGAGTCTGGAGTTTGAAAAGGTTGGCGACAAGTGCCATTGGACCGAGTACTAGACAGAGAAGGACAACCGACCCCAACGGTTCCTTCATGGTCAACCCGGCCGTATTTTTGAAACAACGACGACACGGCGGAATTGCAATTCACCGAGCTACACACGCAAGACAACTGTGGCAGCCAGGATGCGCATCCCATTCAAGCGACTGCCGCGCTAGAGGCCAAGCAAACGTCGGATGCGAGTTTCCATTTTGCCCATACTCACACCAAACACATAGCGTGCAGCTGAGCTGTACACTTGATACCGTCACTGCGACGCTTTTCCTTTGTTCATACCTGTATAAACCTTTGACCCAAACCGGAGTTTGCCTGTTCCGGGTTTCGCTAGTTTGAGCTTCTTTTTTCTTTTTGTATATCTGCTTAACACGCATGACGTGTCTTGTCCAGCGTTGGTGTTGGAAGGAAAAACCTTTTGATTTGTACATATACCTTTTTGAGCGTGGGAGGTGAGGAGAGTTGTCTGCGCTAGGTTTGTCGCAACCACTTGGTGGTGGCAGTGCGACAAGAGCAGCCAGGAATGGAGGATTCAGAAAAAATGGATAAGATTTATCCCGTCCACTATCATTCACTTGTTCCCAACTCTGTGACTGACCATGGGTGCGAGGTGTTGTACTACGTGGACAGTCTTGCGGTTTAAAGACAGTTACGCGCAGCATATCACGTGATGCACATGTGAGCGTTTCCTATGAAGGCATCTCGTAATTTGGGGGATTGGGGGTCACGTGCAAGCCTGATGCCAACAGAAGGGAACGCGACCGTGCACAGCCTTATATCGAGGGGTAGCCCTCTTTTTCGTATACACGCAGTAGATGCGTCGTACGAGTATAGAGTAACGTGCTGGATAAGCGAGTTGGCCAGGCAAGCGAGTTGGCCACCCCACCAAGTTTGCGCACACGGTTTAACTCTATACACAACCACTCTACG